AAATGCTGGCACAGACTTGTCAATACTATAGGCCCACATACCATCCTGGGCAGTGACTACAGCAGAAGAGCTACTACATTCCTTTCATTATTTCAGATGGGGCTGTAACCCACACTCACTACTATTGCTCAGCAAGAAAATACTATAAATGGAATATTAGGAGACCTGGTCTGCATACATAATGACTTTAAAAAAAACCAAAAAACAACTATTTCCCTTAAGCCTGTGATTATTCAAGAACCTTTAGAATTAAAAAAAAAAATAAATTAAAAAGGTGCTTGTTTGCATGTTGGGGATTTCGGTGGTTCAGATGGCACAGAAAGGAAAAAACCATAAGGCTTATTAAGAGTCCTCCTTTCCTCTGAATTTTTTAATGCATTTGCCATTGACTTTGACAGATAGTCCCAGGCTAATCCTCTGTAACACTGGGAACAGATTTGTGTTTTCACTTTGTCCTGTTCATCGCCTTTCACGCTCTTGGTTATTTTGTTTAATCACATTCAAAAGTAGAAATGAAAGGTGAGACACACACTTCTTTTGGTGCTGAAGAAATTCACAATGATAACAGCTGTAAAAACAAAAGACACACACACACACACACATTGACCTCAATATGTGTTCATTTCAAATACATTGGGATCCAGGAGCCCTTAGGAACCCACTTCTTAAAACCATTTAAGCACCTGCTCTGTGTTTCCGTTTGTGCCCATGGGAGTCAGCTAGTCCAGGCCAGTTGTTAACATTTTACTTGATTGCCAGTGAGTGGCCAAGCAGTGAAAACACAAATTATTAGCCATTTGTAAATTATTGCCTTTTTTTGTCATGTATGATTATTCACCAGTTTATGCAACCAATTATTGCAGTAGTTGTTAGCTGTGTTAGACAAACATGCCCCCAGCAAATCCTGAATAAGAACACACTATTTTACTTTCTCCTTCTCCTTCTCCTACATGAAGAGTTCAAGAAATGCAAAATATTCCTTTGCAGGCCGAAAACAGCCAACCTCATCCACCACCACACAACAATGTATAATAAAAGGCTAAAAGCTTTTGCAGTGTCTCCTGTACCTTGCCTTGTAAACTATGTTTGCCCTTTCCTGCCTTTGGCTGAGGCCATTTAGTTATTTTCACATCCAGCTGACCGTGCCTGGCCCAGATCAAGGGGTTTGTACTTTCTGCCCCATGTATTCCCTACTGCTGGGCCATTGATGCTGATTTGAAAGACAAGGTGTTAAAATATCAGGGACAGTTTTAGAATGCTTTTAAAATGTACAAGGAAATGTTTTTATCTTGTTTTTCCCTATTAAAAAATACATCATACACTTATTATTTTAGAAGGAACTACACAATCACATTAAGGTGTTAAAATTTGCATTTAGAGTATGAATATCTTCTTTACTTTATAACTTAACTTTTGCTGTGCTTGGCACTTGCCGCCAAATCTATCAGAGGACGGTTTTATCATTTCATCTTACTGCTCATGGGCTTCAGGGGGCAAATTAAAACAATAGCCATGAAAGAGAGAGAGCCAGCAGATTTTCTGGCAGTGTGGGAGCAGACCAGTGCAGGGGTGTGAGGAGAGCCAGGAGCACAGCCCAGCTGCAGCAGTGAGAGAAGGCTCTGCAGCATAATCTCAGTGCATCTCTCATAAAACTAACCAGGATGGCTGGGTTTTGGTCAAACCAGGTGGAAATAGCAGAAAAAATTCCTCCATGTGCTACCCTGCAAGTCATATTTTCTTCTTTTTTGTGCCTTTCTTCACCCCAGCTCATGGAAAATAAAAATGATGACACCTTCTTGTGATGACTCTATCACATGCACATAAGTGATGTGTACATATGTGTGTGTCTGTAGCCACATATATATGTGTGTGTGCATGTGTGGACATGAATATGTGCAAACACACACATATAGGCACACTATTTATCCAACACATGAGTTACCAAAAAACATTCTATAGCCTGTATCAGTAGTGCATGCAATTAATGAAAAAAAACCCAAACAAACAAATAAACAAAAAACAAACAACTCCCTCCCCCCAAAAAAACCCACAAAAAACAAAACAAAAAAAACCAAACCAAACCAAAACAAAACAAAAAAAAAAAACAAAACAAAACAAAAAAAAAAAAAAACCACCCCTGGAATTCCTCCCCACCCCACATTTTTTTTATCTTTGCCTTCTGAACAGGGGTAAAAGTTATTGATAAAGACCAAGAACTTATTTCTGTATCAGTCATCATGTGGTCTGTCAGCTGTCACTTAGGTCCGTTTTCCAGCCTTTTCCCTGCTTTGATGTAACTTCATATATCCATTTATTGTTGCTGGCCTTATTGTAATTTGTAATGGCTGAATATCGAAGATCCCAACTGGTTTTCTATCTGGTCCTCCATCTAATTTCCAGACATCAGTCTTGCATCTCTGATTATCAAAAATAGGAGTAAGAAACTATCACTGATTTTAGCTTTTCTGTAAATGGGAAATGTAGACCCATACCTCCACCTGTTTCTCTCTGTCTCGTTTGCTCTCTCCATGGGTGTTGTCCTATCAGCCACTGCATGTGGAGCTCTCTGTGCCAGAAGAGCTCCTGAGTGTGTTCAGGTCTTGTCCTTTATTTATAAACAGTAGCATGGGATGTTGGGCTGTGACTTAAACTGGACAGCGACACACACAAACCTTAGCCATGTAGGGGTGCTGTATTTGATTCATTAGTGCGTTTTACCCAGTGAATGTTCACTTCTGAAGGAAGGACACTCAGAAGTGGCACTGTATATGATAAGGTATAAGATATAATGTTCTGTGCCCCTATAGTAAACACCAGTCTGCTCAGGAAAAATAAATTAAAATTCATATGTATTTGGTGAGGTTGAACACAAATTTCTACAATTCTCCTGTACTCAGGACCAGCTTTTTCCACTCTGGTTGTAATATGAATGCAGTTCATAAAGGAAAAAGGAGCACCGACTTCAAAGAAAAGGCTTAACATGACCCATTGCAGAGACTGGATGTAAATTATAGTGTGTCACTAGCTGAAGCAGCATATGTTGGAAGAACTCACTGGAATTATCTTCTCTTTTGGGGACTGTGGAATGCATTAAACATGCATCTAAATAATAATGAAAAACTGCTTGTATTGTTTTGTTACTCTGTAGGAGACTGAGGAGTATTTTAAACAATCCAATTTTACAGATACTGTATTAACAATTCTCATTATTGTCTTTAAATAGCTATTCTACAAAATGTAACAACAAAATAGTCACAGTCCAAGAAGTCACTCCAGAATAAAGCCTATTAGGTGTTAGTATGGTTATACTTGTACTGCAGCCAGTGGACAAACATTAAAGCTGAGATAGTTTGGCTTAAATGTTGGATTACATAGTGGACATTATTGTTTTCACAATAAATTCATCATCTGCTTTGTATTTGTTTGATTCACTGATATTTTTCTAATGATGAAAATACCACTGTATGTTTAATTGTGGTGTTTAACAATTCTGCAAAATTACAAAGCCTAAAGTTAACTTGCACAATGAAAATCTGCTTTTCCTGATGACTCTGGTTTTGTGGTTTTGGTTTTTGTTTCCCTACTATCACAGCCTTTCCTTTTTATTTTTTTTTTTTTTTGTTTCCACACAATTGTGTCAGATGCTGCTTATTTGAGATAGAGAGAGTAACTAAATCATTCAGAACATAAATGCTTGGGTGGGTGGATACTGCAGCACAGATATGAAACATCACATTTTTGTCTGATGGCTATAAAGCTTGTTGGCAACTTTGTGAAACTGCTGACACAAAAGGCACCCATCAAAGGCCTTTTGCATGTTATCATAATAAATACATTCATCACTTTTATTATCTTTATTTGGTTATTACTGTACTTTTGTGTGTGGTGTCCCAGCAAAGTAAAAATAAATAAAAGGAAAAAAAACCCAACAAGAAAAACAACTGCAAAAATAAGAAGTTGCTTATTGTAGGTATTAACTGAGGACAGCACGTTGTGAGATTGTAGAGCTGAAGCTAAACCAGTTTTTATCCTGATCTGAATTAACCAAAAGGAGATTCAGTGTGCCCTTTACCAGGGTATGAGCTTTTACCAAAGTGCAAGGATCTGGAGCTAAATCTCTATACATATCTAGAAGAATTTGTACCATCTCAGACCAATGAAAGGCCATCAGCACTTCTGAAGTTAGGAACTAACAAAATATGGTAGATGAGATGGTTTATAACTGATGCTTCCATGCACTATTTTATGTACTCTGGATTAAATCACTGTAATAATGGCAAAAGAATTGCCAAGCTTGCCTTCCTGAAATTAGCAGCTGCTGATGGCTAATGGGAAGTGAAGTGCAATTGCCAAATTTGCATTTCTAGCAAGTGCCCCGTAAGCCCACGGCCCTTGCTGGGGTGGTGACATTCCGTGTGCCTGTCACAGCGTGCTCCCGGGGGCGCGGGGGGTCTGTGGGTGCCACCGTGAGAAGGGGCAGGGCACAGCCTGGGGGGCTCTTCACACAACTGGCAGCAAGATGATCTATTTATGTTAATAAAACAAAGAGTATTTCTGAAGAATGTTACATGTACAAAAATATGACTTTCAACTCTGAAAATAAATAAGTTCAATTTATTAAGAGCTGGTGTCAATGCTGAACAAAATACACATCTTCCGGTAAGGAAACATTTTGGTGAAGTGTTACAAGTTGGACCTTTTTTTTCCTTTCTGTAAATATATCATTTATTTGATATATTACATTACTCCCTTAATTACATATCCTTATAACTGTGACCATCATTCTCCTTTAAGCCAAAGACTGAGGGTTTGTTGTATTTTTTTTAATTCTTAGGAGTCTGGCCACATATGCCATTTTTTTAAGGGAAAATACTTAACAATGAAAAAAAAAAAAGAAAAATATATTTTTTCTAATAAATAAAAATAATTTAAAATGCTAGAGGCTATACATGACTAGTTTTGATTATGTTCATTTATAAATGAAATCGTTTCCAAAATACGTGGAAGCAATATCAAAGGCAGACAAACAAAGATCTGTCTACTTTATTTTCCCATTAAGCGTGCCCTTCTTAACTTCTCCATCAGTGGTTCAGCAAGTAAGAGGAATAAATGTCACATCACCATTCATGAAGTTTGTCAGGCTTTATAAAAATAGTTCTGGCTTCGAAGGAGTCAACATTCATCTTCAACTTCTCGTATTGGTGGTATCAAGCTGCTTGTCGATTTATATTGATTGATCTGATTGGCCATGTGAGTGCTCATGGGCTTGATTTGAATGTTTCTGGGATAGGCATTATCCGGCTCATCTGTAAACCATTTCTTTTCTGCTAAGGAGCAAAACAGGTAGAGACAGAATAAGGAGGGAAAAATGAAAGTGTTAATTAGTGAAGCACACATACACAGAAACATTAAAAAAAAAAAAAAGAAGAAAATGGGAGCAGTCAGTAAAGTTTATAGAAAACAGAGATCAATAGAAGGTGACTTTGACCAATTACTAGCAGTACAGTGCATTAGATTAATACCTCTGAAAATGCTGTTATGAAAGGAGGATGACGCTTGCAGATTTGAAAATAGAAGCTAAAGAAAACTGCCAATATGCTAGTTTGCTTGTTGGATGTAAGAGTGCTCTTTTCTTGTGCCCATGCTCAGGTGATTTATTGAAAAAAGAAAATGATACAAATCAAAGTCTAAATTAAGAAGCCAAGGAGAGCAGCTGGGATAAGGGTAATACAGAAAAGAGCAGTGAGGCTATACACAGGGGCACCTAAAGAGTCACAGACTTCTCCAAACCATTTCAGCCTTGGGGTGGTGGCCCAGAAAATCATGCAGGAGAACATAAAGCACTTTCTGCAGTTGGTGTTACAATAAACAGGACTTGTATTCCTGCTGCCAGGGTTTAAATGGGGTGGGGAACACTGCAGGCAACTGTGGTAGGGGCTCCAGCTAATCCTGAATGGATTAGTCGTGGTAAGTGACAGCAAGGCAAAGGAAGTAAGGACTTAAAGAAAAATTAGAGAGGAAGCTCTTTCTTTTCTACCCTTGAGCAATGCCTGTTTCCATGAACACAGGAGGAATTTTTATGGTGTGGCTTTAAGGTGGGCTGGGAGCAATGTGGGAGGATGCTGAGAGGCTGCAGCACTGCAGCCCCTTCCCAGCTGTTCAGCACTGTAACCACTATGTTGCACTGCTCCATTGCAGCCATGGACAAAAGCTTCTTAAAATTCACAAAAGAAAAAAAAAATCTTAAATCCTTTAGAGAGCAACTTCTGCAGTAATTTCTCAATGACAGGTATGCAAGCTTACAAGATAACTTTATTCCAGGACTTGGGAACTCCTGATCTAGACAGTGGCTAATGGCCATTAGGTGCACTTGTGCCTTGACCAGCATTTGTGAACAGAGTTCTGTCCCCATTCTTGTCCTCCTTCCCCAGATTCCAGAGGTGGGTGGGCAGAGCAGTGGACACTTATGGTTCTGGGCATTTCATCATTACATGCAAGGTTCAAACTGTGTCGCACCAGAGCTGCCACTCTTACATGTATGCACTACTTCTCACTCCAATGGGGAATCCAAAATGCTGCTGAAGCTTTAATGCCTCACGTAATATAAACTGCTACTTTTCTAACTACTGAAATGCTGGAATACCTGGAATCAGCACAGAAGTGGAAAGAATGCTCATTTTTTAATAAATATTTAAAATTAGCAAAGCAAAATTCACCTTAGAAACATAAGGATTGAGCACAAAAGCTCAGGAGGTAAAGGAGAGAAAATAAATTGAAAGGCTGAGAAAAATAGAGGAAAAATACCTAGACATAACTGCACAAAAAATAAACAAAGACCTTTGGAGTTAGAGGCTCTCAAGAAGTAGCTTAATCTCCAGAACTGGTGAACTTTTCAGTCACTTTCATGAATAACAAATTAAGCCACATCCACTTTATATGGATTTTTAGAATTTACAAGCCAAACCCCCACTCCCCATTAAAACCTTTGCTACCCATTCTTACACATTTTTAAAAAACTACATCAAATCCAGGAATTATGTTGCTTATTAATGGCTTATTACTGAAGGGAAACAGAACTACTGTATTGTTTTTCTTGTAATTTTCTAAAATGCTTTTCACTTGTGTTTAAAAATATCCTACTCATTTGTGACCAGACTAAATAATTCCCTGCCCCCTTAAAGGTGCCTGAGTCTGAACGATGTTCAGTCTCCCATCTCCCTCTCTCTCACCTATTATAATTAAGTTCCCTTTGATTTGAACAGATTGGACGATAGGAATTCATAATGTTACATCCTGCACACTGAAGCTAACTGATTAAGTGCTTTAAATTATTCTTCCTGACAGAATGATAAAGTTACAATCTGTTCAGAGATGATCTACAGCTTGCCAGACTCCTACCGTTTCTTTCTACATTCATTTATCTTTTTGTCAAGCAGTTTAAAAAAAAAAAAAGCCTCAATTCCATAGATCTTTTAAAGTAATCAGAACATCTGCATTATTAATGAGACTTTAAGGGAATGATTCCTGATGGGGGCCGGTTTAAGAAAGGTTGTACGAAAAAGAAGTCTGGGAATGTGTACACATCAAAATAATTTCAGCTCCATTTAAAAAACCATTTAGTTCAAGTGTGACACATGAACCATTATGCATTTGTGGAAACCAATTTTATGTGATCTACGATTAAACTAACCTTTCAGAGAGGTGTAAAGTGTGATGGTTATCATGTTTTAAAAGCCTTGTGAGATCACATAAACAATTTCAAACTAACAGTTTTCTAATGGTTTGTGTTTAAAATGATTTTGAGGCAAGTTAAGCACTGTGAACTTTCAGTGCTACCTTGTTTTTTTAACACATGGTGCAAAAACTTTCCTTACAAACAGAACTTGGTGCAAATTAATTCAATGTTGTAGCAAGCAAGGGGAGGCTTGTATGAGTGCTAAGGATCAGAACTGTGTTGTGTTTCTCAGTAGCCAGTGTAAAGCTCTTCAGAATACCCTGCTTTCCCTAAAATTTTCAAAATAAGCAATTTATTTATGTGTTAAATTTACAACAGAACTCCTGTATAGCACGCTGTTCTTTAAAAAGACACCCCCCAGTCTCTTTTTGCCTTTAGCTGGCAAGTAATACATACAGAACATTAATAATAAATGCAGAAGCTGGTAGATTCTAATGTCTTTTGCTGTTTAGATTTCTTTTTGCCAGTGCTGAAACCTTGACCCAAGCATTATCATTCTCCAGCATGCAATGCTTAGATCCAGCTTTATACCTTTCCTGTTTCTCTCTGCTGCCAAAATTATCATTGACCACATAACGATGGATCTCCTGTGCAAATTCATTGACTTCTCCACTTACCTTTGAAATGTGAGCTTAACACTCCTGATCTTTACTCTTGGACACTATGATACTCTGCTCCCAGTCACTAAATGCTCTTCTTGAAGCCCCTACACACTTTTCAGTATTTTATGCTATGTTTACAGTCTGATTTTGGTATGTCTTCCAGAGTCTTAGCACAGATTTTTATCTTTAATATTTACTTTTTCCTTTACATCAGTTCAGAAACCCCCTTTTTAAATTAGTCTTTATATATTGCTATATTCACCAAGCACTTTTAAGTTCTCTGTCACATTGAGTCTGTTTCTCTCCCTTTTGGAATATGCATATTGATCCTTACCAGAAATGTTTCTACATTATAGTGACAACACGCATAGTTTTTTACCCTATTTTTTTAGGAGCTGCTAAAAAAGTCCCTGATCTTCCTACGCTATTTGACAGGCTTCTTTTTGACAGCATCACCTGAGAGATGTTGGAACAGCTTAGTAACTGAATGTATCAGACAGCAGAAAATACTTTCCTCTCAAACATCTATGTTTGTAATGGCCTATCAGCATCAGTGCATCCATGAGGGTTCAAAAGGCTTAATGCTCATATTACAAATAAATAAAAATTAATGGTTTTGTGCAACAATCTTCCCTGCAGCATAAAAAAAAAAAGGATACAAATAATGAAAGTAAAAATATCAAAATACAATTTTCTTCAACTTGTATAAGACTGCAGCAATTCTCTCCAAGAGATTTATTATATTAGTACTTTAAAATTTCTATCATTAATTTTGGACTGAGTAGCAACTTAGAGCAAATGTCACTGTGAAACACCCTCTCTTCTAAGCAGAGGCAAAGAAAATACTACCCAAACATAACACCAAGGTTTTGCTGTATTTGTATTCTCACCATAGTCCCAGGTTACCTTCCCAGGTTACCTTTCAACTGTTTAAAACATGCATTTTTTGTCTTCTGCAACACTTGCAGTTTCAAATCAGTTTGCATGTATGTGTTTGTGTGTCTCCTCCCTGCATGTTACCATCTTGTTTATAACTAAGCTGAAAATTCTTCCATGTAATTTGTCCCTGTATGAGAAAGAAAAGCATTGGAATTTTCTCCACCCACCTGCTCAGCACTTCTGTGTTTGGCAAACGAATACTTTACGTGTAGTAGGCAGTAGGAAATTTGCAGGGAAAGAGAGAATAAACTATTTTTTCTATGAAGAACTTTACGTTCCTCCAGGGCAACTAAAATTTTGTGACAAAGATAATGTTCTGGACTTGTTCTTGATTTTTTTTTTATTTTTTAAACTACCAAAATTCTTAGTTTTGACAGTGGGAATTTCACTGGAAAATGCTTGACTCTCTGTTTAGGTCAATAGGAACCCATGCCAAAAACCTGCAGGTTTGCTAGACATGGTTTTGTGTCAACACTTAAGCTCACTATGGACTTGGTTTCCAATGCTGAAACCATGCTGGGACTGATATAAATGGCAGGACCTTCATTTAAAAACCAAAAATGCCACTTCCTGACATTGGTGATACTTCCCCACTTTCAAAAACTATTCTACCATTGTCTGACTTGAGATAGTACAGGAGATTTCCTCTTATTTTCAATATAAACACCAAAATAAAGTATTTCTCTACTTATAACGACCAACCTCCATTAGTACACCCATATCAGAAAACCTTCATCAATATAATAAAGTATTTGATCAATCTGACTATAGTCAGCAGGGGAAACTGTACACAATACTACTTAAAGTCTAAAGTTTTAGAATTCTAACTTCAGGATAGAGGACAGAGGTGGAGTAGACTTCAATGTAATTTGAAGCATTCAGATTTGCCCCATATTAGATAGATATTGCTCTTCTGCTGTTCACAAAGTAGGCAAGTTACTTCTCTAATGTACGCTGTTTATATTTTTTCTATTTGAGCTGCTCTGTTATACAAATACTATTTTTTTTTGGATAAAAATCATTACGTAGCATGTGACAAGTGGCTTCATATTAACACCCTCCCTTTCTCTGCTAAATGGAAAACAGATAAAACATTAATGGAAAAGCATTTTGGTGTCAAAGCCATTAACATTCTTCCAAAATGTGTAACTGCTCTCAACTATCTTCAATCAATTCTGCCAACATAAAAAGATGCTCATGTACATACATGGGGAATAGGAAAGTAGGGAGGGGAAGGTAGGAAAGAAATTGGAATGAGGAATGGGAAATTAAAGTAATGTCTGCACCACGATAGGCATCTTCATTGAGCAGGAACCTGGGTGTTTACAAAAGGACACGTGCAATTAGAAAGGCAAGCAGATGAGAGGATAAAAAACAAAACAGGGTTGAGAAACAGCAGCAGCAGCAGCAGCAGCCAGTTTTACTTCTGGTTTGGTGGGAAAAAAAAGGCAAAAGAAAACCAACAAAACAATCAACCAAACAAACAAACCAATAACTGAATAAAGTTTGTAACTATTTTTTTTTAATTTCACAAGTTTTCACAAGGACAAAGTTATAGAGGGAAACCCACAGCAGTTGCTAGGTCATGCAGAACCATTAATTTTCATACCTTGGCCCATTCTATTCATCCTTGTTGCACTTTAGAAAAAGAAGTAAGCTATGTAAGTTTTACAATGCTTTTAAACTGTCATATTTCTGGTTGAGCACTTTAACTGGCACATCCTTGTAGCAATAAATATTCTGAGGGCAAAACATGATAACTTTCTTTGCAAAAAGGAACATGTGAATTTTTCTTTATGATGAAGAGCAACTGTAATAGTCTCATTTGTAGGGGAGCAACCATAATTTGCAATGTATTTCACTGATTGGACTTACAGCTGCGTTTGAATGCACACTCACACATATGGACTGTATTCCAATCATTATGCTTAGCACTGCACAGTGGTATTCTCTGTAGCCCACTTACATGGTTCCAGGTTTTGTCAGTAAAAGTGCTTGGCTTTATTGTCAATTCACACAGCAAGCAAATCTTCAAAATTGTCATGCTTGGGGAAGGGGAAGGTAGAAGACAAAACTAACCATAAAAGCACCTTGATTGGGTTGGCAGTTACAACACTAATCATTCCAAATCTAAATATTTTTCTGTCTGCATGCTTTCTTGCTGGATAGCCAGGGAAGAGAGGATGTGTTTCTGTCCTCCCTACCCTTGGAAACCCTCCATAAACCTAGAGCTAGCTGTATATTTCAAAATATACATTGGCTTCTGAAGTTTAAACCAAGGAAAAAAAAAAAAAAAGTAAAAGCAAGCCTGAGCTATCATTTCTATGGCTGTCTAGGGCAGGTTCCTTTCACTATATTTAGTTCCCTGCCACAACGTTTTTTGGCTACATGTGTCATTGGTGACAATTTGCAAGAACTAAATTCTGGCAAGTGCATGGAACACGACGCCTCAGCACTGTGAATATTTCCAGCCCAGCCCTCTTGTTCTCCTCATTAACAGTCTGGGGCACAGCACTTTTTCTCCCCAGATGGGAGAGACGTAAAGGCACTCAGTTGTCTTCCCTGTATTCCTGCATACTGGCATGCACCTGTTGAAAAAAACAGGTGGAACATGCAGCAAGATTTCTGGAGGTTCTTCACATATTGGGACTCTTGTTGGAAGATTTATACGAACACCAACTTGGAAAAGTTAAACTACCATCTGGGGAAAGGAACAAAGTCTCTTGAGATCTGATATGTAAGCACAGAAAAATGCTTGCTCTTTTCTGAACATTATTTATTCTGTACATAAGGTGACTAATTCACCTTTTAAAGATGTAAAAGTCCCAAGAAGGCAGTTTTTAATGACTTACATCCAATATTTATGATACATATGGCTTTTTATCCCAAATGTCAAAAGTGAAAGAAAATATAGCTATTCATGTGGCAATATAAATAGACAGAATAATAATTTAATACGCAATTAGACTCTTTCTAAACTTAAATTAAACCATTGGAGTTGTAAAACTTCATGCCCCGACAATTTTAGTGTTAAAGGGAAAATACACCATCTCCAAAAGACTAGCATTTTAGAGAAAGCTCTTAAACAAGCAGAAAAGTCCCTGATATTGCTTTGGTATAAAGCAGATATTTAACAATAATCTATACAAGGAGTGTAAGCCCTATATAATATAAGCTTTGAGAGTGAAAAATCAGCAGGGATTTTTTTTTTTGCATGGTTTTTGTTTTTGTTTTTGTTTTTGTTTTTTTCAATAGGAGAGTTTTATAAGCTTCAAATAAATGTATGAGCTCCTGTAAATATGAGTATTAAAAAAAACCTACTGCAACATACATCAACACTTCTGCACTAAATGACTTTCTTTGTGTAACTCTGACATCAAGAGCAAGTGTTCATGTTAAATATACTCCATTTTCGGATATGTAGAGTAACTGCAGTGAGTTATTTATGTTTTCAGTGTGCCTATGGGTTTGGAATTCTTTTTTTATTCTCCCCTAGCATCATAAATAACTTTTGGTCCGTCTGCTTTGTTGCTGTTGTGCTTAAGGGTTTTATGGTGGTGAAATAAAAATGACAATCACATGCACACTGTCATACATATGCAAAATATGTGTACAAAAAGGGAGAACTTCATGGGAAAACAGGGAACATTACTGCTGGAAACATTAACCGGGGAGAATGGGTGGTGAATGCAAGTTTCACACACAGTGGGAGTAGATACACATATCAAAGTCTATCTTCCTGCACATACTTCTGTTTGTCCCGGGAATCTCTGCTCTTGGTGCGGTTCGGTCGGTTGGCTGTTGATGGGATGGAGTGAACTGATGAGCTCTTCTTGCTGGAAGAGTAGGAGGAATGGGAGGAATGAGAAAGGCTGGCTCGGGACTGGCCAGCGTTGTGGTCAAATTGCATCAAACAGAAGATCAAGTCCGTCGGCACAAGCTCAAATTCATATGGTGGGTTTGTGATAACATAACTGGAAAGGAAGACAGAAGAAAAAGAAAGAAAAAGAAAACAGGTTTAGGTTTATACTAAAAATTTCTTCTAGAGTTGTTAGCTCAGGAACACTTAGCCCAATTTTTGCATTTCTGTTTGTACCTGATATTAGCTCATACAATTCCCACTATGGTTTAGGACCTTTTTAAGCCAGCTGTCACTTTTTTTTTGTTTTCTGTCAGACAGACATAATGCCTGAGAATGATGTTCTTCAAGTGAATCACGTAATGATTTTTCAGAGAAACCACCAAACAAACCATGCTTCTTTCTCTGGCTGCACCACAATGCAATGACCCTAGCAAATGTATATTGACAAAACACAGTAACACACACCACAAACAGTATTTAAAAGAATGGCTGAAAAGCAGACAGAGGAGGATTTCACATGCAGCTTATTTAAATATATATTTAAATACATATCACATTTAAATACATATTTACATAGTTATTAAATATTTAAATACAGTCAGTAGAACAAGGGATATAATTATTGGTTTGGATTGTGACTGTAGTTAAAACAAGTTAAGGAAAATACATCAATAACTTTATAGCAAGGTTTATTTTGTTCATTCACTCCACATGTACATTCATAGCCTCAAAAAGCATTTATAAAGAGAAATCTGCACATCCAAGAATCCAACATTGCTTAGTACAAATCCCAGGCCTGAAATAAAAACTTGCTCAATTTCAAGAATCCCCAACTTCACCTAATGGCCTTTCAGGGTATGAAGGACTTATAGAGCAGCTGCTAAATTTTTTCATGCATGTGAAAAACAGACTTGAGCGAGGCAATCGGCATCTTCTGTCCAAGCAACAAATGAGCAAAAATTGAACATGAAGCTCATGACTTCGTTTCAAATTAATTCAATGCTCATAAGAAATCTGCTTAGCTGCTTCAGGGACAGAGGTCCCTTATTAAGCCAACAAATAATCCCAAGTATAGTAACTACACTGTAAATCTGAACTACAACTCAATTTTTCTACCCAATTTATTCAAATTCTTACAGAAGAAGCTGCTTTGGTGGGCTGCAGTGCTGTTTATTGCCATGTTCGCCCAATAATGATGCTTTCTGTAGAGCATGAAACAGTAACAGATGGTAGATTTGTGATACTTCTGGTATGGGTCTGTGTGTGTATTTCTAGGAAGCAGTTAATTAAGACACATTTCAAGCAAGCTGCTAAATGGCCTTCAGTTTGCAAAGATGGAAATGTGTCTGCTCTATTTAAAGCACTAAGGTCAGGCTTGGTGCTACTGAAGTAAAAATGTAGTCTACCAAGAGAAGAGTTTCCATTTACTGGAAGAAATTATGCTTAGACACAGATGGTACTGATGGGAAGCCCACAGGAGTATTACTGGAGCATACAGAAAAAAGACTAGCTACTGTAATTTAAATTATTGTCCCACAACTTAGAGTTGATTGATATAAGGGAACTGAAGTCCTTTCCTTGCAGGCAAACAGTGGATCATCATAGGGCAAACAAGCTAAAGATACACTCTGAAAATTTAATTAAAAATTTTTGAATAAAATCAGCTGACAACTTACCCTGTGATATCCAGCTTATGATTTAAAGTCAGATAGAATCACGGTGAAATCCTCGAAGAGGATTGTGGAAAAGTTATGCAAAAATGGAGCAAGGTATTTTTTTTATATTTATTACAGGCCCTGGGCTTTTCCTTGCTGAGAAGACTGAAGAGCAGTGAAGCAGAGATGTTCTAAAAGACCAGACTCACCGTTTAGTGCATTGGCTGGGAGTACTTAGATGTGCATCCCTTAATCGATAAATTCCAAAGCAAAGCATATTGTATGTTTTCAGTGCTTTACAAAACAGATCTCCATAACAGCCTCCATCCTAGAGGAAAGAGAGGAGATTAAATAAAAAAAGAGAACAGCGCATTTTTTTCCTTTCTTTGTTCTGTTAACACAATGTCAGGGAACAAGTCGTGCAGTATGAACTTATTAAAAAAAAAGACAGTGTATAGATAGTCTGTTGTTTGTCTCAAATGAGAGCCTTTTACCCAAGGAAATGAATAATCTAGATGTTTTAGTTCAAATAAGTAACCATGTAAAGTGATGACTGTTATTTTGGAGACCCTTGGTCCATAAAATAATGGCAAATTGGAAAGACTGAGTGATTTGCTTTAAGCTGGAATTCTAAATTTTGGTACCAGACAATGCAAATTCTACAAATTACATTAACTGTGGTACTAGAATTGTTAGTATCTTTCACCCTTTCTTGGCAGCAGTCATACTGTCATCCAGACAAAAAAAAATCATGAGGAGCACAACAGAAATTAGAGTTCTATGGGTTCAAAAGGATAATAAAATAACTCTGCTTTAAAATAATGACTAAATGTATGATTAGCAAAAAGTAAGTTTAGATTTGCTCATTTGTACATCCAAAATAGTGATTCTTAAGTAATCACGAGAGTTGATGCATTCTGCCTTCATAGATGTAGTGCAATTGAGGCTCTGGCAATTCAAAAGATTGGTGTTGCTTATTGTATTTGTGGAAATGTTAAGCTGCATGCCAAAGAGTTTTGATGTGCTTCTAGTCTCAGCTACAGCTAGACTGCAACATCAGCTGAAAGGCTGTAGGCTTCTGTCTGTGCACTCTTGCTCTAATCCTTAAACTGGGATTCCCTGTCATTTCTGTGAAGAAGGTAATTCCATTCTTTTGGGACAGAGCTGGTGAACACAGGGTTAATTTAAGAAACATCAAATCCTACATCATTGTCAAAGCAGAGTGGGTGCTTTGGGATTACCTCAAGATTTCAAAATGTGGTCCAGAAAACATTTCTAGATATTTTATTTTTATGCAATTTATGTTTAAAAGATCATTTATTTATTTGGTTTGGTGTTTAAAATTCTTTTACTTGTTTTTTGACTTCACCCTTAGAACAGTGCAGTCAAATTATTAAAAAATTAGGATTTCATAAGAATTTTTGTTCATCCAAAACCAGCAGAAACCAAACCTTACAACTTTGTTTTCAAGCTAAGAAGCAGATTTTAAGAACTAGAAGCTCTGTGAAAACACTAAATAAACTTATCAAAACCCAAAAAATATATAGCTATACATATTGAATACATTAGAATTCATTATTACAATAATGTTTATACCATCCAAATCAGCTCATCCATCTCTTTAGCTGACAATGAAGAAGAGCCACAGCATTTTCTGTATGAATATGCAGGCAAGAATCCTGGGCAGTCATACAGCTTCTTAAAAAGGTAAAGAGCAAACCTGGCACTCTGTGCTATAAATTTTTAAACAATCCAAAAGCTCTATTAAATTCAATAATAGAAATTATATGCTTATTGAGATAGATTTTTCACTCAGGCTGAGAGAAAGCTAATAGAGCACAGACCAGCCTTGGTCCTGCATTTCCCTCATGATCTTACCCCTAGGTCTGCAAACGGCCCATCATACAAAGCCAACTGAGCAACTCGACACCTGTCCCTGTTTGCAAGTGTCTGGGGTGTGCTGTAACCTCCTCTCAATGCATTTTCCTCAGCAATCAGTGCTTCCAGCTCTGGTGTGGCTCCTCCTGTTACCAATGTCCGTATCAGTGTGAGGATATTGTCATTGAAGTATGTCTGCAGAGATAAAAGAAAGCTCTTTAAGCAAACACCATTAAAGTCACAACTGAAGACATCCAAATTACAACTTTTCCGGGTTTCTGCTGTTTAAAGTTCTTGGCTGTCTCTTCAAATAATTTTATATAGAAAGTGAAAAGACAGCAGCCTCCAATTACTCTATTTTCTTCTATCCCATTAGGCTCCTATACTATATCCTTCCTTTTAAACACCAATTCAGGCTGATTTTTATTAAAGTACAAAAATTTGAATGATTTATGTTTCCTATAATTGGTGTTAGTAGTGATGCAATGACTGCTTTCCTTCTCATCGCCCTCATGTCTAATAATGGGCTTTAGGACATGTAATTGTAAAATTCAGACCACATTTAAAGCTTACACAGGCTAGATTGCCTTTTTACTCTTGTCACCAATTCGTTGGGGAGCTGCCTTTGTGCTGCAAATGTCATTACTTATTACTGTGGCTGGACTCTAGCAGTCTAACCGATGTATTGTACTAAACATCTTATTACGAGACTTGACAGTGTTCAGACATAAGCATGTATCAATTAAACATCTTGAGTTCATTCCAGATAAATGTATGATGAGTTTGGGATCCTGGTGGTCCTTTTAAAAAACTCTAGGGTATAGGGTAAGTGTGGTTTATTAGGGAAGATTTACTCCACACTGACATTTTGCCAGCATCTGTAGCATTGCTGGTCTGTCAGGCAAACAATGGGTATTTAAAATATTAATTTAAATCCAGATGAATGACTTTCAAGTTCACTTAAAAGTATACTGGTATAGTTCAGACATCCTCAGTTAAACATCTGCAGTGTATTGTAGTGGGCAAAAAAAAATGTTAAACAAAAAAAAGGAAAGACTGTCACTTATAATGTCACCAGTGCCTGAGTTTTCAGAAGCTTTGTAAGTGCAGGGAACATAAAAGGAAAAAATGAGCTCACTGTAGAGTACACACGATTGACATTACTGGATTTCTGGATTTTGTTGAATTTAGGACTTAGAACAAATGTCTGTAATCCATCCAAGTAAAAATGAATAGTGAATTCTCCAACAGTGCTTGTTGCCAAAAGACTTCTAAAATAATACTTTTCAATGAAATTCATTGCTCTATCCATATAATGTAACTGTATTTAATACATGGGTAAACTGAGGTAGAGGTTGAAATATTTTATCCTGAGATCAAAAAGCAGAACTGGCTTCCTATCCATGTTGCTTTGATATTCTTTCTTTGTATAATGAAACTTCAGTTTCATTGTTTGCTGGAGATGACAGATAAAACAGAAGAAAATGAGTTCTACGCAGCAATGTTTTTCACTTTACATTGAAGTTTCCTAACTTCAAGCTTCTCTGCTTATTTACATAGGCATATATGCCATTCACCTGTTGACTAAATTAAAATGAGAGGAACATATTCTTACTGTTATACATGCCCTAAAGCAAATATTTGCATCTCATCAACTGCAATTATTTAAATTAACCTGGGTAAGGCACCACATATTTTAATCACAAAGCATATTGTAAGGAGTAGTCTGACATGAGCAGAGGTTCACAAAGATTCAGCCAGTCTAAAACAACAGCTAATCTCAAATCAGCTCTTACACATGTGGATGCACTGGGTAACAATTCAAGTGTAATACTCAAACCTCTCTTAACTTATAGAAAAATCAATGTGACCCCTTGCAGGAATGTAAGTCTGGAGCGATTACATGATGTTTAATAGGAATTGCCACTGTGAGAGAGAGAAGACGTTCAGGCATGATTGTTTATTTTTCAATTACTTCTTCCTTGATGTCCCTGAGATGAAATCAGTCGCCCTCTTTGGCAACTCTTTCCACTGTGCTGTACCTCTAAGGCAAAGCTAAGACCCTTATTAGCAAAGGAAGCAGCATTTATTTTGGAACAATGGCTTAATTTGGGTTTCACACCATGACTGATGTGCATGGCACCATTCAATCAGATGGATGAGTGCAGCCAAAAGATGTTTCTTGGATTTGTTTGGTTGTTTGGTTTGGTTTTTTTGGTTTTTTTGGTTTTTTTTTTTTTTTGCAACCACTGGGAGAAAAGATTCCAAGTTTCAGGAGAAACTGCTGCAGCATTGCATCTGATCAGAGAAAGTCCAACCATAAGCAAGAAAAGATGGGTGAACAGGAAGCTGTAACTTCTCACCTTCTGCTGAACAGGGTTGCTTCCTTCTGTACTAAAGTATTTAGCACTCCTCGAGAAAAATCTGTCTGCCCATGCTTTTGATTGTCACAAAAATCAGACTCCTCATTACATCTTGCCAGTTTGGAACTAGGGGCACACTGAAAAGCTGAACTAGCTGATATCCATTTCCTTTGGAATAATAATACACTGAAATTAATTTGAGAGTGATCTTCTACTTGCTCTGTGGGAGGGTACATGGCCTGAATATGCCAGTACTTATAAGAAACTGATCTACAGAATGTCTTTGGAAAGGTGCCGTTGTACTTAAAGTAACAAGGCACTTTCCAGTGATGGAAAAGTATCCCTTTTGTTGAGTGTAAAATCAAAACTGAAGAAATACTTGTTTGTGCTTGTCATTAACCAAATCCCACATTAGACATGTGTGTGATCCCACTTTAATCAGCATCCGGAATGAGAATATGAAATAGGTGTATTCTAAACACAGGAAAAAAGAAATGCATCATAGACACTGAAACTGGGTAAATAGCAAGGAAATAATGACACAGATATCTGAGCTAGCAGTGCCACCTAGCCATTGCTTTGGAATTGTAGTGCAGCTCTTTCAAATGTTTCAAGGATGCTTTCCCATTTGTTCAATCATTTTTAAAGTATAATTACCAGATTGCTTATGTTTTGCAGTTAATGCTGTCATGTCTTTTAAACTAATTGGTCTTCTACAGAAAATTTAACTGAAAATTAGCACATCTTTTAGTAATATTGTTTTAACTTTAATAGCACTTTGCCTTTCATTTATATTGACACTAAAATTGTCATTTTTCAAGTTATATCTGCCTTTTTTGCTTTTGCTAGTGGGTTTTTAAATGAATTCCTTTTAAGAAGATTCCTCCTCCTCCTCGACTATCTGTGGTTTTTAACCTCACTTTCAAACAAATATTTTAAGTTGCTTTTCTCATTCAGTTGTAGTAATAATATATATCCACACCTGAGGAATGACCGAGCTAACATCCGTAATTCATACCAATAACGAAAGGGTCTTTGAGACAGAAAAAACAGCAGACAATAAATAACAGCATTTCACCATTTGAAAATCTATTAATTCTTAAACTATTGTCCAAACTTCAAAGAAGTTTGGGACACTTTAAGTTACAAGATGCTGCTTACTAATTCTCTGAACAGAATTGCATGAATATAGTCTTGTGTTCATATCAAAGATTAGAACAGTTTCTGTATAAATAAGACTGTGAGGATCCCTTAGGGAGAATTCTCGAGTAGGGGACATAATTTTTAACTGTTTTAATGATTTTCTTCCATTCTGTACTTTTGTTTAAATGAAGAAAAAGTAGGATTTGGTAATACAGAAAACAAACCAAAACCTGAAGCTCTAGCACAAGCAAACGAATTCCAGGGCAGTGAATGTTAAGTGGTGCTGGAGATCCTTGTCTCCAACAGCATCTGGGGTCTGTTGCAGCGGAAGGTGTGGGAGGGACACCAGCCTCCCAGAACCAATGCAGTTCCTGTGTCTTCAGTGCCAAAAGGAAGAACAGGGAAGCTCTGGCTCTCAGGACAAGTGCTCAAACCTTTGAAGGTACTGTGTGCTGAAAACTAGTTCCCTGAACATACAGGAACTACCTCAACAAGACCCAAAAAGAAGTCCTCCTGCTCAAATACTTGAGCAGCTATATGTGTGTGTATATATATATATATATATATATATATATATATATATATGAGCTATAACTTTTCCATAGCTGAAGATAACATTTTTAAAAACCAGTTACATAATCCCACACATTTTAGTTACATTTCACTTGGCGATGAAGGCATGCTCTGCTTTCCAGAAGTGGTGTTGCCTTGAGACTGACAGACAACATGTATTATTTCCCTGGATTTGGATATGCTACGACAAAATAAATATTAATATATCATTTAGGTACCTGATGGCAGTAGATGTCTCTTCAAAGACATAGTAATGGTTATTACTGGAGCATTTTAACAATAGCCACTGCCACAGTGAAAACATGAAGCAAGTCCAGAGCCTTCCCACAGAGCACAGTAAAGCTCTTGAACCAAACCTGGTGAGATCACTGTTACCAACTCATCAAAAACACAGTACAGGTTTTGAGCTTGTTATTGTCCTCTAAGCATTGGTATTTGAGGTACTGCACTTTGAATCCTGGGCTTGTGGAAAATATTGCCTTTGCTGCAAAGCCAAACTGGGTGCAGATGACCAGTACATGGCACTTGGAAAACTAAACTACATTAAGCCTTTTACCTTTGAAATAAGGAAATAACAGAAAATTTCAAACTCAAAATGTCCAGTACTGTCATCTTGTAGGAAATAATGCTAAACCAGCAGAATGTAAAGATCTCCAGCACTCAGACTTGAATTAGGAAGTTACCACATTTTCTAATCTGTGATTCGTGAGTTGGGTCTAATGCACTACTTCAATATTATAAAACTATTAAAAAATAAAATAATAATTAAACACTGATTAATACTGTAGAATTATTATTATTATTATTGTCCAATAACTGAATACTTAAGGAAATTATTTTAAATATATTTTGTAGATTTTTTTCCCTATATATACATCTATATACACATTTCAAATGACCTACAGGTCAGAAATAATACCATATGCATGTCTATCATTGGACTTTCTAGTCTTTCTTGCATCTGCTCTACTACAAAACCCCACTACTGTGAAAAGAGATTCATTGTTAAAGGAACAGTTCATGAACACTTGCGTTGTACACTATGTAAGGAATTTTCATTACAGAGATATCAACAGAGATCAAAAATTGGAATTTTTCTATCAAAAATAAGCAGTAAAACCAACTGAATCACTAAATAGATAGAATAAAGAACTATATACTTGTCTCCAAGTGAGCTGGCAAAAGACAGCAGAGTGAACATTATATACTTCTTACATAATTCCTGTGCAATTAGTAGGATGAAAGCATGACTACAGATCTCACAATTTAGGTAGGATTTGGGGTTCAGTTTCCCATGCTGGCAAGTATGAAGTTAGACTCATTAAACAGAAGCTGTTTGCTAAAAGCAAGTGTACTTTAGGAAAAAAAGAAAATAAAGGTAAAAAATAATATAGTGAAAACAGATTAGTTTGTGTGAGAAACACTCTCTTCCTTGGAGAAGAAGTAAAAGTCTTCCACATGAGAATATGGATACTAAAGGAAAACATCTCACACATTTTACACTTTCTGAATGGTCAGGAAGAATTGTACTTTTCCAATTCCTTGCTGGGCCTTTGAGGAATAAAGAGAAAATAACACTGCCACTGATCAGAAAACTGGTGAAAGAAAAGACAGGATAGTGAACAATTCTAACTGGCTGAATCCTTGCCTTTCTTCTTGATTACTATTTTTTAAAGCAGAGAATTTTCTACTCTTGTTATCACATTTCTCTGGCTTCAGGCTGCACTGTCCCTGACACATAGTATGACCACTTGGATATCAAAATGTTTAGGAAAAGGACTTTTATAGAAAAGAACCGCAAAAACAGAGGGGCATGTTGTCCAAAACTAAGAGTTAATAAAAGCTAGCAATAACTAAAAACATTAACATTTCTGAACAGACATGCTGTACCTATTTTTCATTGCATCACTATTATTTACTTGAGACGCTTTTGCACAAGGAAGCAATGATGTCCACAGTATCTCACTCTTTCTGTGGCAACCAGAAGGATTAACCCTACTTTTTCTTCATTCTGAAGTTCCCTACTGAACAATACATTCAGAGATATTGACTTAGCTAATAATGGGATTAGATAAACAGCTCTAAGAAACATTTGGAACCTTCATGATAAATTATTCCCATTTATAATGTGAATATACAAAAACTTTTATAGATAGAGATTTTAATTAGAGAAGGTACAGACTTTAGGAGTCCTTGAACAGGTTTTCTGAATTTGTCACATCTACAAAATATTGTAAATAGCTTTCATGAAAACCATTGTCTGAGGTTATTGAAAACTCCTAGGGCATTAGAATAAAATTTTATCTGTGTAGAGTCATTTATCTGTGGATAGAACATATGGAAAATATAGCAGCAAAAACTACAAAACACAGGTACATAAATAACAAATACAAATGAAATCATAAATCCTAAAGATCACTATGAATTCTTCTTAAAAGCAAAAAGTTTCATTCTGAATTCAGGTGAAGGTCAGGCTTGGCTCCTTTAGAGAAACCCATCTGCTCATATACAGTGTTACTTGGGTTCCACAACAGACCTTTCCCAGCACTATGGAACTTTATTCCATGGTGAGCTCAGAAAGCCCATGCTCAGATTTTAAAAAGACTATGTCCTTGCTATATCAGCACCTCTGAACGAAGTGTAGCTCACACAGAGAAAGACTGGTCTGAAAACTTAGCCAATATGAGGAGGATGAGAAGGAGCATGACCGAGGGGTTTGCTTCAGAACTCTGCTATGGCTGCAAAACAAAAGCCCCAATGTAGACATAACCAAAGGCCACCATCTGTAGTTTCTGGCATGCACTGAAGTTTTGATTAATAAGAAAATTCATATGAAAAAGAGGATAACCTCTCTTCACACAAATAGAGTTCATGAGATTTGTACAATGGCTTTCAAGGAGTTCTATCAGTGTCCCCCAGCACTCATACTCAGAGCATTGCTCATAGCTACAGGAAATTAAAAGCTCAAAACACAGTTGATGTTGTCTGACAAGAATGGTGAGCACAGGGACTGACACACTGCATTTGAGTCTGGATTTTAGGCAGAAGGGACAATATTTTTTTGAAAGCATGATCCTTAAAATCTGACATGAGACTGTTTCCTTATAAAATTGTGGACTCATGGAAGTCCTAGATATCTCAATTATAGTCTCTGTGTCCAACTAAGAAAATAACCTAGCTTAGGTTCTGAGATTCTCTTGACACCTAAGAAAAAAGCACCTTCTTCTGCCTACCTTTGGAAAAGATTCTACACCTTCACACTCTTTCACAGCAAGTCTGGTAGAAGGGAATGAAAAGGATTTGTTTCCTTACTGCGCTCATGAGAGAGTCCAGCACGCTGACAGCAAATGCAGTTCCACAAGCAAAAGGCTGCGTGAGATACAGTTCTGTGTCGGGATCATCATCATCATCTTGGTCCAAGAACTGAACATTTGAATCATTTACTGAAAATAACAATGATAATATTGAGAGTAAAATCGAAAGGTATTTCTGGGTCACCAGCATGTGACCTTACACATCACACAGCCAAAGAAAAAGAAACGGCATATGTCTGGAAACACAGACTTGTGTCTTTGACGTCACTGAAAATGAAATCAAGATGGATGTGAAAATGTGCATTTAAAAATCTGTTGCTCGTTATCTTGCTCGTAAGAGGTGACACTCTTGTTCTTGACAGGTTCCTATCCCTTTCCTGTAAAGCAGCTTCGTGGCACCAGTTGCCTGTGCTCAAAATGAAATATATTATAAACTTGTATATTAAGACAATCTTGGTATATTGGCGGGGTACAGTGCTGAGGTTGTATGCATGAACAGTTAATGTGAAATGCTATCACAAGATACAAAGTTAGAACCTCGTTGTAAAATAGAGGCTGTCAATAAAATTCTGATATAGCCCACAGGCATCTGTTAGATGTGCCGCTGTGATTCTTACTGGAGTGGTGTTAATGCACTTAGGGCTCAAAAGAGGATGAACTGTCCCTTTAACATGCATCTATCTGAATGAATGAGCAGTTCTCTCGCAGCACTGCCTTTTGTTCAAATATTTGTCTCTATAACTTCACTTTCTCAGCCACAAATTCTACATTAGCCAGAGTGAAAAAGAATCTAAATCAGGCTGGTTTAGAGAAAAGCCCAAATAAAGTAGTATCTGTCATTTTGACTTTCTCTGGCATTTCATTGTCACAGTTAAGCCCTCTGCCTCCAACTCATTCCAACTAAAAATAGTTGTTTCCTTGAGATCAGTGTATCAAGTGGATCATATTTCATGAAATATTTCATTTCCATATTAGTCTCCCTCAGGCATGAAAGCACAGACTGCTTAGCTATGCCATTGAAACACCCTTCAACTTACTAAATGACAAATTAATTTCAGTTCCCATGCAAGAAAGGGAAATGAAAAACTTTTTGAGCATTTGAAACTGCACGCGCTGATGATATCCCTATTCCCCATGTGAACACATCTCCTGAGCCAACCCAGCAAACTTTGAAAATAACATGAGAACTGCTGTTAACTTGATCAGATTTCAGCTCTGGACTTCTAAAGTCAGAAATTTTCTGCCTGCTATTCTGATCTTCCTTCCCATATAGTTTTCTTGTACATCCACTCGTTTTCCAAACTCTCTATTCTCTTGTGCTTGCTATGTTTAACTTACAAAACATGAATTACTGCAGATAAAGCTTCATGATAGCTGTCTAAATGAGATGAGGATAGAATTTAAAATTCTTGCCTTTGCACTCCCTGATATAATTGCTAAAATATAACACCTTAGTATTGTAATAAGAGAAATGTTCTGCCCTGGGAATCAGAAGACATTAATCCAAGAAAACACTGGGATCATAATACTTCTTTTTTTAGTACAATACCTATCAATTTAATCTCCAGATTCTTAAGCAATATAGTATTTGAAAGCCTGCTGGATCAAAATGTACTTTTTGAACAGCTTGTACCTCAGTTTGATTTGCTAGTTGAGAGTAGGCACTATTGACAGCAGCACTCGTTTTCCACTTCCGTCTAGCAGACTAACACCTGAGTTAGACACTGTGCTAGCCAAGCGTGGGGTCAGCTACTAAAAACCTGTCATGAATTCTGCAGGTGTGTGTTTATCCTCAGTATCTTTATCTTCCTGATGCAAGTTACCACTGGGATTTGTGGGCCAGGAGAGCTGGGTGCAAACAGGTGGTGCTGCGCCATAGGGAAAGGCTCATCAAACGCTGCTCCAAAGGCTGGTGAGAGCACTCTGTGTTGAGAGGGAACCATGCAGGAGCTTGGCTGCTCCTCTACAGCTTCAAAACCTGAGCTTCTGAGAAAAAGCCTTACTCTACAAAATAAACAAAAAAAAAAAAAAAAATAGCCTGAGGGAAAGTATGATGCTTGGGGTTTTTCTGGTATCTTTTACTTCTTCTTGGACTTCCTGTGAAAAGCTGCTAAGGCATGTCCACCAAATTGACAACAGGCTGAAGTAACAAAAAGAAAGAGAAAGAAGAGAGAAAATGAGAGAAAAATTGGTGTAGGAGAGTGAGGGCCAGGGAGGTGGGGACTTAGGCCAAAAAAAATGAATTGGTGAGAAGGTGCTATGAAAACAGCCGGCAGGTCAGACGAGTGTGATCAAAGGTTTACTGATGCTGCGTGAAAAAAAATCATTAAGAAGACCAGAACAAGACGGTCAATTTCAACCAGAACCACAAATAAAACACATTCAAAGCAGTGCCATGAGGGTAGCCCCTCTGATACAGCCAGATAAATAAAGGAAAAGCTGATGACAGTAAGAACAACAACAGAAAATAACACAGTGATGTGAAGGAAAAAGGCACTTCTTACCCAGTTCAGTTATCATTAGAATGTGGGTTCCACTGTTTTTTTCCTGACTGATTGAAACCAAAGGCAGAAGTTTGCCAGGCTTAGCTAGTAAGTAAAGTATTTAGGGGGAAAAGAAAGTACAGAAAGAGAATAAAGTAAGGGAAAAAGACAGGTAAGGCTCTAAAAAATAAAACTGAAAAAGAAAACAGAAGGACAAAGGACCACAAGTCAAGTTTGTATTTGCCATGAAAAAAACAGAACAGCTTCTGCACTTCACATCACACCGCTTGACAACATAAATACCCACAGCTAGAGTGGAAATCAGAGTCTAGTTACCTACCATCATCATATTCTCAGGAGTGAAATATCTCATACTATTATACAGAGTTTGGTTACACATGATTAAACAGTTTTGGACCATGAAGAAATAAACAAATGGCCTCTTACAATTGATTAAATGCACAGGAAATATCTGCTTATACTTTGGCCTTTTTCCTTTTCTAACCTTAGCCCAAAGACCCCAGCTTGTTTGTTACCCTATGCAAAAAGCATCTTGTCTGATGGGATATTTATTTAAGAAAATGGAGAAAACCCAAAGGAGAGAAATATATTTTAGTTATTCAAATAAAGTGAACCAACTGTTACTAAACTTCTTTTAGAGAGAGTAATTTAAAACAGTTATCAAAAGAGAAAATGTAACAGTGTAAGATCCAGTATGGGTAATTTTTCTGTATCTGCATAACAAGGAAAGTGGGAAAAAGACATGGGAATGTATATGGAAGGACAAATTTTAGCTTTTCTTACCTAGCTCTGTTATAATAGGGATGTTGGCTCCTGTTGTAATGGAGGGTTGACGTAAAAGGCCATGGACTGGACTATTGTCTGGAGATGTCCTATCCATCCCAGGAGGTGTAAAACCTAAAAGAAAAAAAAAATAGAGGAAGTTTACAGGGGACAAACTACACAAAAAAAAAAAAAAAATTCCGAAGCAAACACCTTTCCTTAACCAGCAATTAACATTTTAAAGAGTACTGTTTGTAAATGGTATTACAACCATGAGGAATAAACTGCTTCCATTAGTCAGTTCTAGGTTTGATCAGAAATCAAGATACAAAATTATCCGTCTTCCAAGAGCACTACCACCCACACATGATAGGGGTTTTGTAATTTTTGTAATTTCTGTGTACCATTTATAATATGCATTTCTATGAGGACTACAATTGTAGGAATACTGGGATGGAAGGGTCCAGTCTACAAGACAAAAATATAGTATGAAAGGAAAAAGAAACAGGTTTTCAAATGCTATGTGAGAGGATTGCTTGAAAAGAACTGGAAAGAGTGACAATTTGAAGGAAACAAAGGTGGGAGAAGAAACATGTTGGAAGGCACTCACAGAAAAAAAAAAAATCTGGAGACCAGCAACATTCACCTTTAAAAAAGACTGTTTTCAGCCAGATTCTGTAGAATTTGAAATGGAGCTCTTGACATTGAGGAGTGGTTTTTATAGTTTGTTTTTTTTTTTTTTTTTTTTTTTTTTTTTTTTCTTCTTCAAACAAATAATACCCAAGCAAAAGCTTTTGGAGTTTGATTCTAAGTACTGAAAAAATGGGTAGTTATACAAAAGCCCATGCAATAGCAGGACTGGAAATTCACCACTGAGACTAATGCATTCCATCCCCCTTGTCCAGTAAAGCTACAGAAAACATGGGAATGCTCATTTAATGTCATTGCAGAAGTGATGGTAAAGCTACAAAGTGACTTTATGGTTTCATATAGACCAGTATCACGGCAGCATTTTTAAACAAATATTTTTCTGCTAGGAATAAAATTGAGCCAAGCTTAGTTTAAACCACACTTAAAAGACATTCCATTTTTTTTTTTTTTTTGCCTTATTATTCCCAAGTTATTTGACTTCACACCTGATACCCAAGTGACAGACTTTGGTCCTTTGTCACTAGTGCTGAATTCTCCATACACTTATTCTCAACTAATCACAGCCAAATTAATTCCTGACTTAAATTCACTTTCCTCTTGCAGTGTGGAAATTGTTTTGCTCCATTAAATTCATTGATACATTCACCTGGTATTGAATTCACAGGAAGATGGTATGATACCTTACCTTTCTTCTATTTGGGGACCAATTTACAGACCAGGAAATCTCTAAACTAAATTGTAGCTGTTAGCACATCATACTGGTATTATATTGCCTTTAGGACTTACAGGTCTTTTCCAGTGATAATTACATCACTCTTTAACTGCCCCTAAACTACAAGGACCACTAGATCTGGGCTCCTTGATTTAACGGGATTTAATTTTCTCCTTCCATTCATCCATCTCTATGTTTTGTCTGTATCACATAGAGAATATACAGGTAATAAAACTAGAATCACTGGGAAGAGACTTTTTTAGCTCTGCAGAAGGTACTGGTATGAATTTCATTCTGACTGTCACAAGAAAACTAGATGCAAAATGGTGATTGTACAAACAAGATAGCTTAAAAAGAGAGTGAAAAGCCTGTGAAGAAATTCCTCAGGAGAAAAGAAGTGGATATGATATCTTCAATGACAAAAACATTGTCATAGAGAAACCTAAGTCAGCAGAGCAATTCTATATAATATTACCAGTGGATAGAAAACCTTTATAAAGCAGATTTCTTACAGGCAATTGGAAATGTTAACAGTCAGCCATGTAACACCACCTGTGGTGCTGAACTCAGGAAGACCAGCTTGGTGACAGCGAGTTGCAGTCCCAGCCAGTTTCGGTTTGCAGATGTTTCCTTGTATCTGGCACTATGACTGAGAGCGGTTTTGGCTCTTTGAATGTTTACCTCTTCATGACAGAGCCTGAGATTCCTCAGGCTCACAGAGTCTGACAAAGGTCTTTCAGTCACCACCTTGTAAGTTACAGGTAACACTGACACTCTCACAACAGCAGAAAAATTAAAGTGGGACTCCAAGGGGAGGACATGCTATCTGAGGACAGGTGAGTATTAGTGTGACACCTCCTTCTGCAGCAGGATCCAGTGTCTTGTACTCTATTATGGAATGCATTCTTTCAGGAGATGCAGGATACAGCCTTTGTCACATTAGAAAAAGCTCAGGTAGCAGCAGATTCCTTGAGCAGGTAAGGTGGCAGGCTCACTTGGGTCCCCTGCTGAATTACAAGTCAAAATGGCAACATGATGACTTTTCATGCTCACTTATATAAAAGTAAACAAAACTAATATTGTTCTCTTGCACTCCAGGGATTGCACTGCTCAGAGTATCCCTGGAGACTCTGCTTTTCCCTTTTTTCCTGAAGCCTTTCCCCCCACATCTGGGGATGCACTCCCTAAACCACCTTCAGGCCCTTCAGGTGGTAGGAGCACAGCAGTATTTTCCTACCAGTTACAGGCAAATTGAAGTAAGCTAGTGTAACTCAGCTAAATGTGCAAGATCTTCTTGCCTCCCCTTCACTGCACATACACAGAGACACGCACACTCTCCATCGAAGGCCATTTGTAGCCACCTCTCTAACCCTTAGAATATTTGTCTTCCTGGGATAGTGTCAGAAGATTGAAGTAAATGTGGCATTTTTGTTAGACACAGACTGTCAGAAGCTCTGTAATTGCACACTGCACACATAGTGCATTCAGTCTGAAATGCAGGAAGCATGTTAAAGGGATTGTGTTTTCTCCTTGAATGAAAAATAGACTCATGCCGTAATATTTTTCATCCTACTGTCTTGAAAGACGTGAGAAGTATCTGATAATTTAATTTCCTTGCTCATACTTAATTCAGACACTTCTAAAAATTTACTTTTAAGAAATATAAAAATCGTGGAGTATTTCCAGGAAAAGAAAATATTTGGGGATTTTGTGTGCTTATGTTTGGAGTCACAAGCTATCAAACACCTTCAAGACACATTCCTGCTCCCAAGTCACAAACTAATTTCCATACACAGGCTGTCTATTTTTTTCCTCCAGAAGAGAAACGAAAAAAAAAGTGCAGGAAACTAACCTGCTTTATCAGAACTTTCATTTAAAGGCATGAAAAACTACAAGTGACAGCTGTGCAGATTCAGTGAATGTGACATTTTTGAATTTCTTCAACTTGACAAGTAAACACCTTAAATCGGTAATGCTATATGCATAATACATGACCTGTATTTTGACATCCATCATCAAATGCTGACTTGAGAAAATACAGGTTTGTACGTCAAGGAATAGCACCCATAAAGCAGGGAGAAATTCAGGTCACAGGGTATTAGGAAAACTCTATTTCATTACAGAAGCTGAAACAAGCTAAGGCATCAGATTTAAGATCCATTTTCAGCTGTGAAAAGATTCAATTCCTCTGCACAGAGCATTCATTTAGAAATGACATGCTTTCCTCACAGCCTCTTTTCATTTTCCTTTTCATATTCCATTTTCTCCTTCAGTCCCCAAACCTTGTTCCATTAATGCTCATAAAAATCACAAAACAGGGCTGATAGTTGTGATCTTACAAACACAGTATCTCCTTGTTCTACAAACAACTGGGGGAGCTCTGGCTACAACTGCTTAACAGGAGCAACCTCTAGTAAAACTCACATGCCTGTGCAAGTCTGAGCACAGTGCCTGTGGAAGCAAATGCAGTGGCAGCGTGGAGACTTCTGGAGAAGGGAATTCTCTTTGCCTACAATTGGAGGTAAAGCAAAATCATATTTTTGTTCCAGTAGTCACTGCATCTGGTACTAAACTGCTGTACTGGGTGAGTGGCTCACTTGGTATCACTTGAATTTTTCTTTTTTTTTTTTTGTGGCTTGTTTTGGTTTTCCTCATTTATTAAACTGGCTTTATCTCAGGCCATGAGCTTTTTTCTCACTGTGGAACTTAGTTGTCAGTCACAGTCAACTCACCACCATTGGCTATAGTGATAATCACTATAACATAAGAGTTACAGAATCATTTAGGTTCGAAGTGACCTTTAAAATCATCAAGTCCAACCACTAACCCAGCACTACCAAGTCCACCACTAAACCATGTCACTAAGTGTCCCAGCTAAACATCTCCTAAATACCACCAGGGATGGTGACTCCAACATTTTCCTGGGCAGCCTGTTCCAATGCTTGGCCACCCTTATAGTGAATACATTTTCAGTAATATCCAATCTAAACCTCCCTTGGCACATCTTGAGGCCATTTCCCTTTGTTCTTTCACTTGTTACCAGGGAGAAGAGACCAACTCTCAGCTCACTTGAACCTCCTTCCAGGTAGCTGGAGAGAGCAATGAGGTCTCCCTGATCAAACTGAGGAAGGAGGCAGCCCACCCCTATCTGTCTCTGAAACAAGATACTGCCAAGCAGTGGATTAAGAATATCACAGCTCTGATAGGAACACAGGTTTTGGGCTCCTGACACGCCCCAAATCAGTAAGGCTTGGCAGTCAGCAGTCACAGCTTCTCCTGGCAGCAGCGTCCCTCCCCGACAGGCAGGGACTCCCATGTCCATCCTCAGCTATCTGCTCTGCAGGAGTTTGAGCCTCCTGCAGGTCTCTGCAGAAAGCTGATGGTCCAACGTCTTGATTTTGAGCAAAGAGCATTTCCCAGCTCCCTCTAAGTTACTACTGCTCACAGAAGTGGGCAAAAAACAATCAATTGCATCAGGAGCAAAAATCTAAGTCTTAAAGATTTTCTCACCTTCATGGAAAGAGAACGCAGGGGAAATTTCCTCAGTAATATGAAGCAAGCCCTTTTTACCAGGGGATGCAAGTGCTCCCCTGCTGTGAGCTCAGCACGGCCAGGTGGCTGTAAAACCTCACTGCCCTTACAAAATACCACCTACAAAGGGATGAGCAGCAGTGGGCTCGTGAGCTCTGTGCCCCTTGAGCCAGGCTGACCCATGGTCCTCCCAGGGAGGCACTAACAGTGTCTCAGCAGTAACATGCAGGTATTCTGAGAT